CCCTTTTGAGTTGTTCGCCGCCCTGAGTCCCTCCCGGAGAAGGGCGGCATACAAATCAACTAAATCTTAAATCTTGTACTTACTATGTATGAAATTAATGAATTATTATCCCAAGCAATCAAATCTACATTCATTTGCTCTGTATACATGGTAAGCTGGGAGTGTTCTGCCTTATTATAATCATTGCCATTAATCTGCCTTATTATAATCCAAACTGGGGGAAAAGGTTGATGTATAGGGTTATGCTAGTTTCAAGGTTTCTCTGTTGGGAGTCAGGTAGGGCTTCATAATATAAGTTGGAAAAGCCAATTCAGGTTCCAATCTGTAGCAATAGCACTTAGACTTATATACTGCTTTACAGTGCTTTATAGCCCTCTCTAAGCAGTTTATAGAGTCAGCCTATTGCCCCCAACAATCTGGGTCCTCATTTTACCAACCTTGGAAAGATGGAAGGTTTGAGTCAACCTTGAGCCTGGTGTGATTCAAACTGCCAAATTGCAGTTAGCTGGCATTCAGCAGAAGTAAGGCTCCTGTAATGACTGTTGAAAGGTTCTTCTAAATTTCCTAGGCAATGGATTTCATCCCTACCATGCTTTCAGCCTTGACTGGAAGCCTTCCAGTGTTTCACTTTCTCTCTCTTTCCATTTATTCTCAGGATGAGCAAGATGCAGCCAGTTACTTCTTCTTGGCCTTGGCTGCTACCACTGAATTTGATGACCGCAATTGGCAAGGCAAGATCCAAGCCAGGCTGGCTCAAATATTTACTAATTCCCAAACAAATAAGAGCCCAAGAGGGTGGACAACATATCGGGCCCGATGGTTAAGTGAAGGAAGACATGATGTATGATCCATCTGTTATGGAATTCACAGCTCATGAAGAAAGGACATCATTGTCCCTCTGCCAAGAAAAGAAGAGAATCATCATCTGGTGCTTCTAGTCCCTTGTGTTTCTGAATGAATAGAAATCTTGTGGGCTGTTGTAAATGGATATACACTGGCCATCAGCTCACGTGTTCTGACTGAAAAAGCAAGCTCATATTTTTTTATTTTCTCAACAACATGTAAAGAAGACTCATTCACATACATGGGCCTTATTTAAGAGATTAGAGGGTGCAAAAGAATCAGTTGAAGCACGATTGAGAGACAGTTTGGTGTAGTGGGCATCAGGTTAGAAACTGGTTGACTGTGAGTTCTACTCCCACCAAAGAAAGTTGGGTGACCTTGGGACAGCCACTTTCACACAATAGCCAATCACTTCTGAAAAACCTCACCAAGAAAACAGCAGAATTTTCCAGGCACTATCTAAGAATCAATATGACTGAGCGGGAGGGCGAAAAGAGCAAGATAATGACTGCACAACATAGGAGCTGAAAAGGTGTGTGTGTGTGCAGATTGTCTGTGATAAGAAATAAATGGGGCTGATCCTTGGAGAGGATATTCAACCTGCATCCATTCATCCTCAGTGCCAAAAGGCAAAGTCATTTACAAGATAGACATCAACAGCCTGAACAAAAGAGAAAAAGTGCGAAAAAAACGCTCTTGCAGCAAATGTGATTCTTTGTTCCTGTGTTATCACACCAGCATCAGTTATCTGTGCTTAAACCAGGAAGGGGGAAGAATCTACCCAGCCACAGCTCCTCTCAAAAAGTTAAGCAAAGCTAGATCTATGTTTCAATGGAAAACATGAAATCCCAGGGCTATAAACCGGCTATGGAGTTAAAAAAAAAAGCATCACAACAAATTGCTTCTATATTATTGGCAAGAAAATAATGCAAGAACATGCATAAAGTCACCAAGTGCCAAGTATAACTCAAATACTTATCAGTATTTATATTTATTTTGGTTTCTCATTAATATCTGCCTCATGCATCATATAAACTAAATTAAGATCCCAAAATTATCCTTTGGAAAGGATGGAACCCAGAATACCATATCCTAAGAATGATTAAATGAGCTCTTCAGAGGTATCTCCTTCCTTCTTAATGATTTGCACTGATCCTGAAGAAGAAAAGAAAAAGGTTCCTGTATATCTAGAGAAGGAAACACATGCATGGAAGCCTCTTGGGAAAGCAAAGACACCTGCATACTCAGCCAGATGTATTGGGCTTCCATACTGCTGGAGGGTAGCTACAAAACTTTCGAATTCTTTGTCTCAGTCAGATACCCTCAAGAAGAGCATGCTTACTACCCCACCATAGCTCTATCTGACATGTAGCTCATTGGATTACCTTGAATCATTTGCTCTCTGCCCAGCCTACCTCACAGGGTTATGAAGGTTTGTTAACAAGCTACATATGAGATGATCTCTATGCATGATGACTTGATTTGATCTCTTTAGAAGAAAGTTAGGAAATAAAGACACATTTCTTTTTGCCTGTAAACTATTGACTGTCCTCATAGCCAAGAATCAAACATTTGTTTTCAAGCTTCTTTTTTTTCAGAATAGAAATGTGCTTTTTTAAAACAAAAAAAAGGAAGTTTGACATTCTTAGGAGGCTTAATGATGTGCTAGCTTTGAGGTGCTACAGAGGTACAGACCATCTTGTAGCCCCACCAAGTATATTTGGTTCAAATGAAAACTCAAAGCCAATTGTCCAGAGTTTCTGCATGTGGAAATATTTTGATATGACCAGGGCTGAAAGTGGGAAGCTGAACTGAGATAGGCTCATTTTTGATGCTGTGTAATTGAATTGCGCTTCCTTTAAAGTCAGGGTATAAATATTTTAGGGGCCAAAGACTGTATCTGTCTTCTGAATAGCATGCCAGAAGTGAGATCCATAAAGGGAGTGTGACCAGCATTACATCTGGGTTAATTAAATTTAAAATTAAACAAATCAGATACAACAGTAGGATAACTCCCCAATTCCTATATTTTTCCCTTGAAAATTATTAACAGAATTGGAGCAATTCTGGGGCTCAGAAGCCTTGGAGAGCAGCAGATTGTTTCAATCAAATCATTTTGCTTCATGAAACAATCTTTGAAACATCTTGCCTTGCCTCTTAAGATTTTGTTTTTGAAATATAATACAGACACAAATTCACCTTATTCTGTTTTTTACAAGAACATTCTAGAGGAGCTTGTCCATCCATTTCCATTCTGTGATGAATCGGATATCTCGACAATTTAGAGCAGACCTGATTCCCCATGCAATAAATAATGGTTATGTCAGATTGTGTTTTGAATATTAAGGAAGAAACACAAACCAGGTGCAAGCTTTGTCTCTCTTCCTCTGTCTACTGGTGAGACCCCTGGGGGACTTTCCCTGACCTGCTTTGTGTCTGAATGTTGAGTTTTGCACAAAGGTATGAATCAAAGTAATGAAAGATAGGTCACACCAAAACTGGAGAAGTATTCACGAAATTAACATTGTGTGTGAAATCTTCTCGGTTATACTAGCAGCCATTCTGAAGTAGGATAATTATAAATTTTTCAATTCTCTGCCAAGCACTGCTAACAGCCATTCACAATGACTTCAGAACAAATGTTGCAGCACCAAATAAGTAGTAAATACGACAGGTTCAAAATTAGACTACATGTTATTTATGCAGATGGCTCGAGGCAATTTTCTTTTATTACCTTTCATGAAAAATGCCTCCAATAGAAAATCTGGATTTGTCTGAAAGACCCACTTAGTAGCTTCTAGACACGAGCTAATGATCTGATTCTGTATGAGAGCTACCTATGTTTATATATGGATCCTGGGTATTATCACTGATTAAACAGATTTTAGCATTTGCTTTTTACTTGTACCATAGCTCAGCTCACCGTTAGAGGGCAATAAAGGCAGTATTTTCAATTCCTTTATACTTTTCAGTCCTTATTAAGAACAAGAATCTGTTAAGAAATTGATAAAGGCTTCTAGGCAGTCTGAACTTTTAAGACTTATCTGTGGCTGGAAATGTTGAGAAACATGACACTTTTTCTGGACATTTCTCTACATCCTATACAAATCAAATTTCCTAATGTTATGCACAGAAGCCGAGATTTGTTATCACACTCATTTTTTTAAAAAAAGTCTACTGCAATAACAAGAACTTGCTTCTCATTAAAAAAAAGAATTCTTTATTGTTTAAGGGGAAATTTAAAAACAATCCATGTTAGATTGACAAACTTAAATGATGTCATGGCATAGTATGACTTAAACCAGAATATATTACTGGAATAACACTTGTTCTTTGAAAAAATATCAAAGCAGTTCAAAAGATTTCATGACAGCATGCACAATCTCTTTCTCATGTACACATGTACATACATTTTTCTTCTTCCTTGTATAGAAACAGAGGTACTCTTTCACTAAATTTCTACCTGCTTTGACTTGTTTGGACAATGGCTGGAAAAGTAGGTGGAAATAAAAGGGATTTTTTTTCCTTTTCTGCTCTCTGAGCTGGTTGCTGGCTACCTCAGAAAGAGGTAGACATTGCCTGTAGTTCTCTGCACTAATGCCAAGCCATTCTGCCAAACTCCCCTTTATTTGGACATTCAAGTTTATGGTTATTTATTTTACTTCCTTGGAGTTCTGACTGAGTTAATGTAAGCAATTCATGAGAAAATCTATGGGACACTTGAATATGCACCAGGAGCATTGTTTAGCTTCTTATCTTGGTTTTAATTGCTCAAGATCTACACTTGAGACCTCTTCTCACAGTTCTTCAACATTTCAATTGGGCAGTGACAGAAGTACTTTCCTAGGGGGTTGTGTTTCCAATTGCCAATATCTGGAATGAGGGCAGCATTGGTCCAAAGGAGCCTTTTTCTGGAAAGCTGGTGGAAAGCAGTACTTGGACTTAAAGTAGGGAAATCCAGTTTCAAGACGCTGCTTGACCAATTGATTTAATTGGGTCTCTTTAGACCAATCACTTCGTTTCAGTGAAAACTGTGTTTTGCCATGTTGAGGTTAAAAAAAAACTCTATATAAATAAAATAAACTTTTCCTTAGTTCAACATAGAGACCCATTTGGGTGGCTTTAAATTTTTTACTGAGACATTTTGCCTGAAATTAGATTTTAGTTTTTAGAAATTAGATTTTTAGTTTTTTTAGAATTAGTTTTTTTTAAACTAAGATTCACTGCTTATCAGAGACACAAAGAGTGGTGGTTAAAAAGAGCAATCCTTTGAGTGCTGGTGAACTAGTGTTCTTGGTGCTAAGACACAGCAAGTTCAATCCCCAACATGCTTGCTTGAAAATCCAAACCACTGAACTCTATATGGATAGCTTTTAATGCTTCAACAAATTAAAATGTTAGATTTTGTTCTGCTTAAGTACACTTTTGACAGCTGGAAACTCTCACATCTCCTGTAAAGTAGGTAAACATGCATGCCAGCTGAGAAAGTGACTCAAAAACAATAACTTCTATGTCTCCTTTAATTCACTGCATAGCCTGGGAAAATTCAATAAGGGTATTACTCTCTGATTTCAAAATTGTCCCACATTTCTTTCCTCCTTGACAGATCTTAGTTGTTTTCATAGTGGGAAATGAAACCCTGGTGCCCAGAGATAATTTTTATATTCAAGAGCCACCCCAGCAATTTGAAAATGCTCCTAGAGAAGCTCTTCATTCAGAAGACATCCATATTGGCCTTACATGACAGATAAAAACTTTTTTTAAAAAAATCTTTTGATTGGGAGCTGTCCAAAGTTGGTTGAAAGATATGTGTCAATAAAAGGACTAGCACATGCATGCTAGCCATTCCCGACTAGGGGGTGGTGCTCACCTCCGTTTCTAAGCCAAAGAACCAGCGCTGCCTGAAGATGTCTCTGTGGTCATGTGGCTGGCATGCTAAACGCTGAAGGCGCATGGAGCACTGTTACCTTCCCACCAAAGTGGCTCCTATTTTTCTACTTGCATTTTTTACATGCTTTCGAACTGCTAGGTTTGCAGAAGCTGGGACAAGTAACAGGAGCTCACTCCATTATGTGGTGCTAGGGATTCGAACAGCTGAACTGCCAACCTTCTTATCAACAAGCTCAGCATCTTACCCACTGAGCCACAGCCTCCCTATGTGACAATAGGCATAATAGGCACAAATAAATGAAATAAAAAAAGACTTTCCAGTTGTCAATTCCAGTTGTCCCCACCATTCCCCCCCCTTGATATTACATTTTTAAAATGTAATATTTCCCATGGAGTAGGGGTTTATCCCTTCCCTAGTACAGTATTTGGCATTATGATTTATTTTATGAATGACTGATGATGAAAAATTAGTTGCTGAAGTTTCTGGTAAACACCAAGATGCTGGGTCTATACAACTGTAGATTGGAAAACAGTTGAAGGCTGGAAAATCTGGTTGATCTCAGGAGCTGAAGGAGGGTAAATGGAATGAACATAACACTGTCATCTGAAAAATAAAAGAGTTTTGCCATCTGCTGTAGATTTATCCTTTGGAAATGCTATAGCGTCAGCCTGTATTCCTCTTATAATTACAGTTGCGTAGGAGCATAAGAAAACCCTATAAAATAAAAATGCAGAATGAAAGTTAACCCATTAAGGACAGCACTATGGTTAAAAGTTATGGAGGAAAATAGTTGCTGTGGTAATGATAATTGAAATTCATAGGGTAAAAGTTGCTGTAGAAATGAATCACATATTATGCTGGAGATGCCCAAGAATTGGGGTGAGATAATGAGTACGTTTGGATTTCAAAAACATAATTCAGTGCTATGGAACATACATGTGGCCCAGTAGTGGGTTTTGGCTCCTGTTGCAACCAGTATACTGCAACGAGAGCCGGGCATGCACCATGGGCACACATGCTATGTATGCATGAGCACCCATGAAGGCGCCGTACACTGTGCCTACGGTGCCTGCGCTTCAAATACAGGTAAGGAACGAGGGCAGGTGGGCTCTCCAAAGCACCATTCCAGTACGGTGGCTGCTGCTTCCAGCAGGCACCGGTACACACATACCGGAGTGTACTGCCTACAAACAACCACTAATGTGGCCACTCATGAAACACCCATGCCCAAGACGTACCGTAATTCTGATGGCATCACTCCTGCCATTTCTTCTCTATTACTTCATCTTACCTTTTCTTCCCCCTAAAACCCCCAACAGAAAGACAGACTTGGAAAGACTCCTAGATTGTAGCTATCTTATGTTTCACATTTTTGAGGATTTGCTTTAACATTCTTGGAAACAAATATAACACTTTGTAAATGATGTTTGCTTGATTTCATAAAGCTAAGCAGAGTTAGACCCAGAGGTGGGTTCCTACCGATCTTGCTTTACCATTGCTTCTAACCATGACACCACTAACTCTCAAATAGCTACTTGATCTGTCCTAAGTATTGAACCTAATTCATATATTCTTGTTTCTTGAACTGAGGAATAAATTTCAGAAAAAGAAATCTGTATTGCTCTGTGAATCTACCTATGACATTCATTCTTCTTGATCTAAAACTATATCTTTCCTATTTGTTGGGGGACATCCTTCCTGAAAAGGCTGTACATTGTACATTACCTGTAGTCCTCAGATTGCAACCACAATAGAATCCAAAGCACAATATTGTTTTATTTCTTTTTCAGTTAGTATTATTTAACAGGATGAAGAATAAAATGTCATCAAAGATCCAAAGATCCAAGGAACTACACAATTGCTGACAGTATCAAAAAAGCTAGAGATATTGTCAGGACAATTGCTGTTA